TAAGACTGTGAGTAAATTAAATCTATGCGAGACTAAATGTTAGTGACTAACATCAATTTATCTGGAGATTTTGTAGATAACTGTTACCCTCCCTTTGCCTAACACATTGAGTTTTATTACACTAAGTTCCTTACAGTTCTGTCTTTAATTTGAAATCTCATAAAACACACTGGGTTTTTTTTAATCGGTTTATTTTAATATGTGTCTTTATCTGTCTATCATAACTTAAACTTTATTTAGTGTTTTTGGGGTCCACTTACTAATTTTGGTTAGATTAATAATTTCATTCAGAGTAACTGAAATAACTGCAGATTTTCTGCCATGACACTTGCCCCAGTTTCTGAATTATTGACAACTGCACTGTAATACCTGACCAAATACATCCTTTTCAGCATTTTGCAGTTAATTCTTTGCTATTAAGGACATTTATTATCGTGAAATCAAATAATTTAATTCAATATTTTCCCTGGTTAGATTTTGGTCAGATTTTTATCTATGACTGACTGTGTCCTCATTTTTTGTTTGATTGCTTCAGGAGGCGTTTTTCTCTTTGGGCTTTGGAAGAACTTGTTTTCTGTTATCTGGAGCAAGAACTAGATTACCACCAGTAGCAGTTGTTCTATTCTATTTTCTCTTTTACATGGTGCCTCCTATGACTTTTGATTATTGTTTATGCAGCCCATTCCAATGTCAAATCACCCTTTATATGTCTAAATACTTCTTGATATCCTAATTCTGCCTAATATTCTTATTTTCCCTTCTCTGCTGCTTCAGCTAAGTTGATTTGTCTTGAGGATTTGCCCATGATTCACAATGGGGAGAAAAAAGCTAGTGCCAGCCATGAACACATTCCAGGTCTTTATTATAGGACTGAGGAATTTAGTAAATACCAGAGTTGAAGCTGGTGTACAGAGCTGTGCATCATCCACCAGGCATATGTGTGTAATGCTATGATAATTGCATGATCAGGATGTGTATCATGAAATGCTGTATAGCATTGTAAGACTGTTTTTGTATGATTGTGAAATAGTTCATTACTATGATGCTTTGCATCACACAGACATGTGCTGGAAAGTATATCTGCAATTTTAAATTTTAGCAGTGTAAATATAATACAGTAGAAAGTAGAAAATATACACAGAGGACAAGGGAAATGCTAGTAGTCAGGGAACATTCATACTTTAGGGATCCAGCTCCTGTAACTAAATCAAAAGACTGATTTCCTTAGGCCATTTCCATGCAGAGACTCTTGCACAGGACATTTTGCAGTGTTTCAGGAGTTCCTTCAACCAAATCTCTCCCAAGGAGCCTCTCTCTATTTACTGTAGGGTAGGATCTGCATCCCACTCTTGCTTACTTTTGACATTTGAAAACAGGTGATGTGTATATAACTACTTATCACACATTTTGCTCATAGGGGCTGTAGGGGCACGTTAGTAAACTGAATTTCAGAGAAAGCTTTGAACAACAGTAATGCAGTAGGTTTTCAGATATTTAAGGGAGTTTCCATAAAGTGTAAGGTGTAAGACAAAAAAAGGCACAAGAAGTTTGTTTGAAAATACACCATATGGGTATGAGAGGAGCTGGAAACTGGACTCCTGACACTGAATGGCAGGCGGGAGATGGAAGGGAAGAGACACAAGATGCAACCCTGAAATTTATTTTTGTATCAGTAAAAAGTGGAGGGTTTTTAAAGTGTTTTAGCCAAAACCAACATAACAATTAAATTAAACAGTATGATCTCATGGTCTTTTGAGCTTTATGTTTTATGAAAATTGGCCTGGTTTCAAACATGAGCAAACCACAGCTGTCTTCCTGACAAAGATTAAGGAGTAATAGGTGTGGTGGTGATGAGCAAGGATGGACCTTAAAAGTGAAGTGGTAGATGCTGCAGAAGTAGCCAGGGAGAGCTGTGGAGATAGTGAGGTGTTCTCCAAGTGACTGACTAGGAAAAGGGTCTTTGCAGCAGTTCTCTGAGTTAATGTGTGTGATATTAGGCTGTGTTTGTCAAAAGCAAAGAGAAAAAATGTTGCTGAATCAAAAAGCAGAGAGCAAAATCTTGCTGAATCAAAACATGATGATGATGATGATTAACCTGATTGAATACTTTAGCTGATTGGGAGGATTAAGAAAAATACCATCTTGGAAATGTTGCATTGAAAGTATCTGCAAATTATGAATTTGAATCTTGGGATTTGGAGTGTCTTTGGGATGTAAGGTGATGCTAGAGTTACATGTCTGAGCAATAGGCAGGATGATGCTGTAGCTGTGCAGCTTTGTGTGTGTCACCAACAGTTAAATCATTCATAGAAAAAATTGTAAAGATCTGTCCTCAAGTATAATTGTATTATTTAGTATTTGACATTCTTCACTCCTACAACTGCTTCCCACATAATATTGCTTAGAATATTTCCCCACCTGCCACAAAGGACTGGACATTAATTGTTGAGTTTGATTTGTAATGTCACAGTGGGATGCCTAGTATGAAAAGATGTTTTGCATTTGCTGGAAAGGCACTGATCTTTTCATTTGGTTTGTAGTAATGGTGAACACAGATGCAGTAATTTCCTTACAATTAAATTATGAAGTCAAGTCTTCTAATAACAATACTCCATAGTATTTCAGTAATAATTAATTGATTCTGTTCCTTATTCTGATTCTGCCTAATGATACGAGAATTCCCCCCAGGAGAGGAAGCTTTCAGTTTGCTTGAGAATTTTATAGCCAGGTCCCGTACCAGCCACAGTCATTTTTTCCTCCCCCCTTCAGCATGTACTGGAACTCACAGAGTGAGAAAGGACAGAGGACATCCATCTGCTCTTGGCTAACTTTTCCAGTGGTGTGTAGTTGTATGGACATGGTAGCAAACAGGTGTGAGTTAGAATTGTTTCCAGGCTTTTCTGACTTAAACCGGAGAAGAGGCAGCTTTAGTATCAAGGAGGCATAACCTGAAGAAAAAATCTGAACAGCTTTTTTGTTCTTTTTCAATAAATTTCTGCCAGGTGTGGAAATCAAAACTGTTAATGTTATGTTTGCAAGAGCAAGAAGAAAGGTTGTCTTAGGTGTTGAGTAGTTAGGTATCCAGATGAAAAAGATAAAGCTTCAGGAAAAGAAATTAAAACCTGCCTTTCTTTGGAAATGTAACTCTGGCAAGGAATTTGATATTAATGGCCTATCAATAGTTTCAGGTTGTTCAAAGAAAGAGCAGTGATAGCCATATAAGGCAATAAATTTCCCTCTGCTTGCTAAAAATTTGTGAAATCATAAATTCATTGAGCAAACATACCCCATGGGCATACTGGGTCCTGGGACTGGGACCTCTCCCTGCACACAGCTGAGCCCTGCCGGCTGCATCTTCCCCCCAAGTCCCTGTGTGCCTACAGAGTGACCCCAGGTTTGAGGTGTAACTCTCTGGAGATAAAATACCCAAAATCTGACACTATACTTGAAGTCCAGTGTTGTAGATTCTTTACCATGTGCCAGTTCAAGACATACATGTGGGATATAACTGGGAATTCAGTATTAAAATGGGAGAAAAGATTTTGTTATCTGTCCTGCGCTAACACCAATTCTAAAAAGACAAACGTATTTCCTTTCTTCACAGATTTTGGAAATTTCATCTGCCTTGCATATCTGTGTATATAAATATCTAAGTCAGTGTGTCGTCTGGGCAAAAAAAGGCTTCTTAATGTCCATGTGCAAGGAAAACTTTATATATACTACTATTTTTCATATCTAGAAATAATAGCAGTTTGAGTCCTTATCTCTCCTGAGTGCTATAGGCAAATCAATGTCTCAGTGAATTTAAGATGTTCATGTCCTCATGTATCTTGAGTTTTTAAACTTACTATTTATTTTTATGTAAAGGATCTTGCTGCATCTTAAGCCATCCTGTAGGAGATACAAAAGTAATCAGAGATTGTTGATTGTCTTAAACATTTTTGGGTAGAAGGTGTATTTAAATTGATATGTCTGGTTACATGCTGATCTATGAAGGTATAACTCTGCCCTAGTAATAGGAAGAATGGTATCATACTCCTGGACAATACATCCTGTCTTTGGTCTGGCTGTCTCAGAGAGGTCATGCTAGTGAAGGAACAAGGTGCAGTGATGACATTTACAGGCGTGGTGAATTGGCCATTGTGGCCTCCCAAGCTGAGAGACAGCCTCAGGCAGGGAGGAAGCATGGACCCCTTCCTGGGGTGGATGAGGAGTGCTGGTGTGGAAGTCTGGATGACACAGCTCCCCACAGTGTAGCCTGTGATTCCATGTGCTTATGCCACCATAAATCTGATATTCCTGTAGTGTCTTCACTGCTTCTGTCACACTTTCCTGTTGTGTTAAAGTCTGTATTTCAGTTGGCAAACCTCATTATGAGGTAGGCATTTTTTGCTAGTCTCTTTTCGCATTAGCAGTTGTATGACACTAGGTGCATGCTACCATGGGGTTTTACTGGAACCTTGGGGAGACACACTGCCAAGCTAGAACTTCTCACAACCTTCAGACAGTCATAGCAATGATAGTTCTTATAGAAATATTATTTACTTTCTGTCAGTTTTACAGTGTTTTAAAATACAGGCAGATTATCTCATTTTAGTTTTCGCCATGGTGTTACTAAGAGGCTGAAAATCTCCATGTAGAGCTGATGAAGATAAATACATCACCTTTATTGATTTTGGACCACTCTCTTTTATTAAAAATAATAAAACAAATTACATATAGCAACAAAAAAGCAGCAGCACACAGGAGGTGAGCAAACACACTGCAGGTACTTGTGTTTGCCTGAAGGGGAATGCACTGTGATCAATTAATGCTTTATAAATCTTTTGGCATAAGAAATTACTGTTGCCTTTGCTGTAGCTGCAGCATTTTAAGGTAAAAATAGAGATCTTGTCATAGTCTAGGCACTCAGGTTATTTTTCTGTGATTAGTTTGGTGTCTCTAATTAGAGCTGTGTGCTGTGTTCCCTGATATCATTCTTTTTCTCTTTACATATTTAGGTCCTGGTCCTGCAACTGGATTTGTTCAAATGGACCTCGATAGCCTGGGGACCTGATGAACTTCGTGGGACTCTGGTGACTGCAGGTTCTCACTCTGAAGATCTGATTGTAGGCCTGAACATAAATTTCTATTTCGTTCTCCTGTCTGTTTGCTTCTTAAATGATGAAAATTATCCTTTAAAATGGTGTTGTCGTTGAGTCTCATGCACATCCACTTTAGTAATGTTCAGACACTGTGTGCCTGGGATGTTGTCAGACGTTGTTAAATTATTTCTTTTCTGTTGTGTGCCTAAACCTCATGATTGCTCTGATTATTGTGTTAGATTTTTTCCATTTAGTGCCTTTCTACCTAAAATGGAGGCGATAATCGCCTGTGTTTTCAATCGTTGTGGTATTTCTTTTAACTCAGATTTTTAAGTCAGAGTAACTGGTGAAACTGTTCATGTTATTTTTAAAGAGGTAGGTAGATTTGTTTATTTCTTGCTGGACACAAAGTATAATATTTTAATTTGCAAACTTGGTAGCCTATTATTACTGAAAGCTTTCAATATGATGATACTCTGATGTAATAAAAAGAGTAGGAAATGACCCTTCTACTAGTGTTCCTGTTGCTTTTCCATTCCTGTGGCTGTGGTTGCACAACATACAACTGAGAGTGAAGATATTTTTATTTTTTTGTGAGCCAGTGTATACCTTTTTTTGACAATAAGTACTGTTCCCTGTCCTATTCCATATTGCAGTTTCACTGAATAGTGAAGTTATAGCCCTGGTAGAAGCTGTAGGAAGGACTTTGAAAAATCACATGTAGAGTGTGACCATAAATAGAGTGTGAGAGGGAAAATAGATGTGTTCTATCTCTATACATGTTAGTATTTATGTTTTATATATTTTTAAAGCAAGTATGTAGCCGTGTACGATAATTAAGAGATTAAAAGATCCAAAACGTCCTTTCTATACAGACAAACAGAAAAACTTTTTTGGTTTTTGTAGGCTTATTACTATGATATTAAGGAACTTCACAGTATTTGATGGATCTTTGCATATTCCCTGAACAGAAAAGAACCATTGTCCTGTTAGACCAAGGAGAAAACTGAGCTGCTTTTTTAGTCAGTAGTAAAGTCAATGATATTAAATGGATTCTCCTGCCTTTTAACCTTGTGCCTCCAGCTCCATTTTTCCCTCAAGACCCAAACCTTCCCTTACCATCATCTGCTTTTCATTTCTACGTGAAAGGCCCCAGGTGTTTCTGTTTGGACTCCCAGAAAATGAGGAAGAGGTTGGTTGGCCATCTGCCAGGGTGCGAGGTCTGACTCGGCCCTTGCTCACAGGGGCTGCTGGTGAAGGCAGAGGCAGAACTGAGTGTTCTGTGTGGCATTCAACTGCCTTAACCACATGCCCATCGCTCTCTTCCTGTAGTTGTCTGTCTTGTTCTCAGCAGAACTCCTAAAGAAAACACATATACCAACCAATAATCTAATTTGATGCACAGCCCTGATTCACTTCCTGAGCCGTGTTCTGCACACACGGAGTGACTGCAGTCCCGTGGAAAAATTCAGCACAGCGCACGAGGCCAAAGAGTAAGGCTGTTAAGTGTCTTTAAACTTTGCAATGAAGCAGTGTTCTTTTAATGTCACTTATTATAGCCATAGCTCAAAGTATTTTTAACAAGAAACAAGAGGAAAATGAAAGCTTTTAGAACTGGTTGTAGCCAATTCCCTGTCTAGCCTGTGAACGTGAATATCCAGCTCGGTGAAACACAGAACATCAGCCAGGGAGCAAGGGAAGGAAGAAGGATGGGTGCTTAACACCATGGCTATATCCAATTTGCTTCCAAGTCTCAGGGACTATTTGTGGAGTGTTGACCTCAGCTCTTCAGCTTTTGTTTTCCCTTCAGCATTCCCACACCCAAAAATTAGCCCCTCCAGAGCTTCTCAGTGCAACAGACATTGGGGGTGTTGCTGTAGTTTGGTAATCATTTAAATGAAGAAACAGAAATCAAAGGTGGGCTTTTCTCCTAAGTTTTCACATTGAAAAATAAGAGGAGATGCTCCCAGTTCTCTCAACAATGAATTTCAGGGGCTATCCTTCTGATCCTTGATCTCACAAATAGATGGCAAAAACTTTAATAATAGAAAATTTGCTCTTGGCTTACCCCTTTAATCTTCTTCACAGTCAAATTGTAGTGGCCTACTGTGTTTGTAAGCTACCAAAGATGGTGTGTCGGCTCCAGTGCCAGAGCAATTGTGCTGAGAACACAAGCTCATCTTGTTATCTTTTATGTTAGAATTTGGTAGCATAATAATTTTTTTTTCAGAGAAACCTTGCCAGACCATGGTCTGAGTTTCAGTTTTTGTTCATGTCTGCTTTATCTATGGGTAGTGGTTGAGATTTGGTCACCAAGCCTAGTGATTTGCTATGAGGAAAACAAAACAATCTTATACTTTGCTTTTGCTTGCTTTTCTCCGGGATATACAGTCTTTTCTTGCAAGTAATGCAGCAAATTCCTGTAAAAAGAGCTGGTGGGAATACTGTTAGGAAAAATTTGTTCAACCCATTCACTGAAATTCATAAAAATCAAAATACTTGCAAAAGTATTCACTGGCATTTTGTTGCAAAATAAAAATGAAAACCCTGATTTAGTACTATTTTTTTTTTTAATAAGGATCAGTTTTCAACATTTCATAGCTGTAGAGAAATGGTGGAAATGGGACAAAACAGGCTTGATACGTAGAATCACCTTAAGTCTGTATCTCAACTCAACACTTTGTATCATGAAAACATGGCCTGGAACTGCTGCCTGTCATATCAGATATTATTATCATTGATTTATTATGTTACTTCATCTTACCTGCTTTTTGTAATCTTTTGGCAGGGATTCTGTGTTTTGGGTGTCTTCTTTTGGTTGGGGTTGGGTTTTTTTACCAGCACCTAACAGAGCCCTGATCCATGATTTTGCTTCCAGGTACTAGGAAAATACAAGTACTAATCATGCCTGCTGCTAAAAATTTTCTACATTATTTCATTTGCATTTGTTTGCTTTCAGCTTCTAGTAGTTGATTCTTGTTATGCCTTCCCTGATGGATTAAAGAGCTCTTTAGGACTCACTATTTTCTCCCCAGTAAGGTGCTTTTACCCTGTGATCAAGTTACTTCTCAATATTATTTTTGTTGTTGTTTGTTTTAAGAAAAAGCTAAACAGATTGTGCTTTTTAGGGTTCTCATTATTTTTTCACGTTCCTAGATGATTTTTGTGGCTCTTTTCTATCCATAAAACTGTGTGTTACTAGTCACATGCACAGGAGTAAAATTGCTCCTCTAGTTCCTCTTCTGTTAGTTTGGTTAGAAATTGATGTTATTGCAAGGTCAGAGAAAAAAAACCCTACCTAATATGACTTCTGCACACCTGAGTGTAGTTATTAGAGGACAGAAAATGGTGGATGACTTCAAAAACATTTAAATATTTTAAAGTGATCCACAAATCAGCAAGAGTGGGTGTGCAGGAGAGATGCCAAAAGTATTTATGTTGAGGTTTTTAAGGAGCTAGCAGTGAAAATAAAAATAATAATTTTAATTGTGAAGCAACAATAATACATCAAAACTTAAGTGCTGTGTTTAGCATAGTAATAGTTGCAGAAATTTTGTAGGATTGAATGAAAAGTGTTTAAAGTGTTTGTTATTAACACACTGTTATGGGTCACTGGAAATAGAGACTGTAAGTGGATGTGAATATACATATCCCTTTCATCCATTTAATCCTATAAGTAGCCACTTGCTTATATTTGGAAACCCAAGAACAGTTATGTGATCTCTTATGCTGAAATAGAAGAAATAACATAGTATTAAGAATTCAGTTTTTTATAAAGATTGTCACTATTAAGTCATATAAAAGTTCAAGCAATCAAAATCCAGAGCTTGAAAGAGGCTCTTGAAAGTTTTACTGCTTCAGTATTTCTTTCTAAAGGGAGTGGTTATTTATTTTGATTTGCATCCATACTTTAGGACAAAGTTAAGTTAAATTTACACAAATGAGACTAATCAGATGCCTGTCTAGTCAAAACATCTCAGCCCCCAATGACTTCTATGCATATCATGCATATAAGCATCTGAATTGGATCTGCGCTCCCAGCCCCACACTTATCCCTCCTGGAAACCATCAGATTTTCATTAAATTCAACTTCAGACTGTTTAAACTCTTGGTGGTGCTGCACATTAGTTTGATGCAAGTTTGTCTAATGTGTCTGACAAAACTTTGAGGTCACCACATTGACTATCTGTCCAAACTGACTTGAGTTTTGACTTTGAAAAGAATGTGTCTTTCCCTCTGTGAAATTCAGGGCATATTCCATAAGGGTCTTCATGTGTTTCAGCAAAATGAAAGCTCATGGAAATATGGTAAATGAGGAAGGAATGAGATTTAAAGTAAAACAAAAGACTTAGTGTCCTCTAAAACTCGTGGAAAAGAAGTAAAGATGAACAAGAACTGAATAGAAAGCCAAATGGCCTCTAGTTAACAAAGTACTACGATATACAGATTTAGACTATAAATTTGTGTGTGTTAATGGAAAAGTTATTACTAAGATTTTGGTAACACTGGGTGACTTGGGGTAGAAGTTGTCCCCCTGCAACGATGAGCTCACAGAGCCCTTTCTGAAACAACCATCTGCTGCTGGAAAAGGCAAGAGAAGTGGGCATTCCCTTGAATGCTTTTTGGAATCACAGGCTTAGTCAGTGTAAAGTATGTGATTTCTTACATCCTAGATTGCCTCAGTTTCTTCTCTTGAGTCTCAGAAATCTTGGAATAGAACCATTAAAGAGAAGGAGATGACATCACTGGGAAAGAAGATGGTAGAAGAAACAGGATGATTATGATAGAAGCTGGAGACAGTCTCCGTGAGAATACTAGCATGACGTCTTTTCTCTGAGCAGCCAGTTAAAAGGTGATCTTCCTTTCTGAACCAGTAATAAATTGCTATGGCTGCATATAATGGTGAGTTTTTGATCAATGCAGCACCCAGTGCAGTGCAGTAGAAAACTGTTTTGAAAGTGGGGGGAGAGGGGTCTGACTAGAAAATTACTTTCCCATTAAATAATGCTACTAATGACTATTTGGTGCTGCCAGAATGCATTTTTCAGCTTATCTTTGCACAGGAGTGTGGACAGAAGAGGAGAAGAAAAAGGGGACAGAAAAGAGAGAGATGGAGAAAGGATAAGAGTTTTTTGAGGCTGCTTCTGCTCTTCCAGGATGTGTTCTTTGCCCTCCCTAGTGAGTGGTATATGCTGATAACTTGTAGTACTTGTAATCTTCCTTGAGCACCCTATCTCCATGGGAAGTTAGCAGGTTTATGAAGTTCCTGAGTATGTGGACAACTCCTTGAATGGATTAAAAAACATTCCATTGCATTGTAAGGGATGAGTCAAACACTACTCAGTGACACCCATGTACACTTGGCTATATTCAGCAAAAGGGTAACACTGTCCTGTCAAACTATGCAAGTTCCCCTTTTGAAGCTGTGAGCAAATGGTTGTTTCCTCCAGCAGTTCCTGTAACTGCTTGTATGCAGTCAACATTCACAGTAGGTCCTGAGT